GTCATGTCATCTGGATTCTCATTCATGGCACATAATGGTCTTGAATTCAAACAAGCTTCTATTTGAGTTAAAACTGTTGTCATTTCTTCATATGACAAAATGCGATCTCCCACAACTCGTTTAAAATGATGTTTTATTGAACCTATATTTCGTTCCCATAAGCCACCAAACCATGGTGCCGCGGGTGGATTAAAATAAAATTTTGTTGATAAATTTGCCAATTCACGTCTAATTTCTTCATTGAATTCAGAAATCGCTTGTGATGTTTCTAATTCGAATATCGTTTTAGCTTTCACAAAATTTCCGCCATTATCACTGTATAGTTTGGCAATATTTCCTCTTCGAGATATAAATCTTCTGAATGCTGCTACAAAGGCCTCAGCGGTTAAGTCAGATACAGCTTCTAAATGAACTGCTCTTGTTGAAAAACATATGAAAATTGCTACATAGCCCTTGGTAGTTTTTAATCTGCCGTTGTTAGACATTCGCATCATGAATGGTCCACAAAAATCGGTTCCCGAAATCGTGAATGGTTTTACCATTGCTTTTGTTCGATCAGTTGGTAAACTGCCCATCAACTGGGTGGCTGAATGTGCTCTAAACCTGTGGCACTTAACACATTTGTTGATATGTGCCTTTACAGCTCTTTTACAGCCTATTATCCAGAATTCGTGTCTAATCTGCATCATTGTGAGCTGGTTTCCTCCGTGTAAAACCTGTCTATGAGCTGCATCAATGACTAATCGTGTGAATGGACTTTTATATGGAAGAATAATCGGGTGTTTTTTATTGAAGTTAAATTCTGAATTTTGTAGTCTGCCACCGACTCGAAGTATTCCCTCGTTGTCAAGAAATGGAAATAACGATTTTAATTTACTCGAACGGCTTGTTTCATTGTTCTTCTTTAAGTTTTCTATGTCGTCTTCAAAATGTATTTTTTGACATATTTTAATCATTGACAATTTGGCTCGATTGAGTTCTTCAACTTCCAATGCCGAACCTGTCGTAGCTTTTTCTTCTTGGTTTTTTGTTTTTGTTTTTTCTGCAAATCGATAACAATATGCTATGGAGCGAATTGCTCGATTTAATGATGAAAATCGCGAGATTATTCCCTCGTCATGCAAAAGATTCATTGCTACAAATACCTTTTTTAAACCAAGTGTGGTTTTAAAACTTATTGATGAATCAAAATTGTTGGTTTCTGTGCGTAACCACCATGGTCCATGCCACCACAATTCATCTTGAATTAAGTTTTCAGGTGTCATTCCTCTTGATGCGATGTCTGCAGGGTTTTCCTTGGTATTTACGTAGTGCCAATCTTCTATATTGCTTTGCATTTGGATTTTTGCTACTCTGTTTCCAACATAAGTTTCCCATCTGCGTGGTGAACCATTGATCCAAGCTAGTGTAATCTGAGAATCAGAGTAATAATGTCTTTCGGCAATAGGGATGTTGAGTGCCTTTGTCACCTTTTCCATCAGTTCTATTAACAAGAGTGCGGCGCATAATTCCAATCTGGGAATGCTTTGTTTTGATAAAGGTGCTACTCTTGTCTTTGCGGTTAACAGATTGCAATAAATTGCATCGTCTGTTATTACTTTCGCATAAATATTTGCTCCATAAGCTAATTCCGAAGCATCCGAAAAACCGTGTAGTTCGATCTTGTTGGTTGATTGATAGTTGATCCATCGTTTTATTTTGAAATTTAACAGAATTGGAATTTGTTCCCTATAACCTTCCCATTCATCTGCTAATTCCTTTGGTATTGGGCTGTCCCATTCCAATTCAGCTATCCATAACTTTTGCATTAGAATTTTGCATAAAATTGTAAATGGCGCCAATAAACCCAAAGGATCATACATTTTTGTAATTTCCGACAAGACAATGCGTTTCGTCAGTATCTTGACGTCTCCGAATTCATTCATTTTGAATCCAAATTCGTCAGAGATGTTATACCATCTTAAGCCGAGTGTAGCGATTGACGCTTCACCATCTGTTTGAGCACCTTCTCGGTGTTCTTCTGGAATTGAATTTAGAAGCTGTTCACTATTCGAACTCCATTTTCGTAGTTGAAGACCTGCATCAGCCAATATTTTAGTTACCTGTTGCTGTAATTCTTGTGCTTCTGTCACGCTATCCGAACCGCTCATTAAATCGTCCATGTAGAAATCCCTTTGAATCATTCTTGCGGCTACTGGTGACTTTTCTTCCCACCTTTTTGCTTGTGTGGCTAATGTTTTTACTGCTAAATATGGCGCGTTGCTTGTTCCGTAAGTGACTGTTTTTAATCGATACTCTTTAATGTTTTGACTACGATTTTCTCGCCATAAAATGCGTTGATAGTCTTGTTGATCGCTATTTACCAGAATTTGTCGATACATTTTTGCAATATCGGCTGTAAAAGCTATTCTTCGTAAACGAAATCTGAGAATTATATCGAATAAGTCATCCTGAATTTTTGGGCCCATCATTAGGCAATCATTCAGCGAAACACCTGTGCTTGTCTTACGACTTCCGTCGAAAACAACACGTACTTTCGTTGTTGTACTTTGTTTAAATACTGCATGGTGTGGAAAATAATAGCCATTTTCTATGTCTACATCTTCGCATTCAATCATATGACCCATTTCGATATATTCTCTCATAAAGGCTATGTATTGTTCGTGTAGCTCTGGTTCACGAGCAAATTTTCTTTCTTGATGTAAGAGTTGAGCTAGTGCGCTTCTTCGCGAATTTCCCAGGTCAGTGATATTTTCACGAAATGGAATGGTCACAATGAATCTTCCCTCTTCGTTTCTCACCGTATTTTCTTCGTAATGTGATAAGCAATATGTTTCTTCTTCAGAAAGCATGCTTTGCTCACCTATTTCCTCACTTTCCCAGAATTTTTTCATGTTTTCATTTAATTCTTCGATTGTAGTGATGAGACTTACCGTGCTTGAATCCGCGTTCGATGCTCTCTCGATGACGCCTGAAAGAATCCATCCTAGTTGTGTTTCTTGAGCGACCAGCTCCATTGATTCTGCTTTAATTACTCCTTGAAGTAGAATTGCTGCAAAGACATCAGCTCCCAAAATTGCGTCAATTTTGAACACCTTGTTCAAATCAGGATCGGCTAAAACTAGTTCGCCAAATTCATGACACTGTTCAATTTTTGCTTTAGCCTGTGCAATCGGTGCTAACGACGTTAACTTACCTAAGATAATTGCTCTGGTTCTTCCCACGAAGCTTGTCGGGTATCGAGCTGTAAATTCAATGTCAACACTTCCCAATGATTTTTCTGTCTTTATTCCTCCGATTCCGGACACCGAAATATCGTTTTTCATTCGATTCAATTTTAAATCTTTCACGATCTTTTCTGTTAAAAATGTGGCCATCGAACCTTGATCAATCAGGGCGCATATTTCTTCTGACCATCCATTTGCTGTCTTCAATCGAATTTGTGCTGTAGCCAATAATACCTTGGATCCTTTCTGTTGTTTTGATGCGATGCATGATACAGTTTCTTCATCGGATTCGTCGGCTACGCATACAAACGATTTCTTCTGCGGTGGTTTTCCTTTTGAATTATTTCCGGAAACTGATGGTTTTGGTTTTGTATCTGTTGACTCTGCTTTGGATATGTGTAGTAAAGTGCTGTGCCGTCTCTCACACTCCTTACATTTTAGATTCGTCAAACATGATTGGCTCGAGTGTCCTGGTTTTAAACACAGTACACAAAGCTCGTTAGTTTTCACGAATCTTTGTCGATCAGTAATTGCCATTTTTTTGAAAGTGAAACACATAAAGAGTGCATGTCTTTCTCCGCAACAGATGCATGCATCCTTTGATTTTTTCTCTGGCTTACCTTTATATTTTTGATTTTCTCTTTTTACCTTTTGGAGCACTTTTGCTCTTTGTTCCAAAAATTTCATGAAATCTTCTAGATCTTGCGGCTCCGTCGTATTAGTTATGGATGACTCGTATAATTCGAGGCTCGTTTCATCCAGTTTTTTGCTTAAGATATGCAAAATACATTGTTCTTTCGTCATATCTTTCAATAATGCTATGTACTCTTGGCTATTATCCATTAATTGTTGCAGCTGTTCTGCTGACGCGTTTGTTATTTTTGGCTGATCCATCAAACCGTCGAGTGCCATATGCATTATTTCTCTCTTATTTTCAAATCTATTTTGTAGAATTTTCCATGCCACGTGGAAATTTTCATTTCCAACTAAATCTGGCCGTTGAATTGCTCTTAGGGCTGTGCCCGTTAGATTTGTTTTTAAATACTGCATTTTTTGAACATCATTCAATGACCTGTTGTCGATAATCAGGGTTTTAAACAGTTCAGAAAATGTTGGCCATGTCTTCCAATTTCCGGAAAACTGTTGAATTTGAATTGGTTTTAATTTTAATGGTGTTGGTTCAAAGGTATCAGGAACATGTATTGGTCGTCTGCCCAGCAATGTCAACACACGTACATACCTCTTCTCGATGTTACAGAAGATGTCCATATATGTTCCGGCAGAATCTACGATCGCGCAAACTGATTCTAATTCGTCAGCGATTTCAATCCATTTTTCCTTTATGCACGAGACAATCTCATGGGCTTCTTCCGTTCTACCTTGGTTTACCAATTCTTCCATTGTTTGTAACCGACATTCGAACAATTTTTCTTTAGTGACAAATCGATTAATGAATTCACGATCACTTAGATTAAGGTCGACATCATTATTAATTTCGATTCTGGTCGAATTACTACTTGGTGGTACGGTTGGTATAATATTACCGAGCAAATCGTTGGTGCTAGTTTGCCCCTGTTGGTCAGTAGAAGATATGGGAGGAGTTATACCATTTCCACTTCTGTTTGTTTCAATTCTTAATGAATTGATATCAACTTCTTCTCTTCCCAATTCCACCAATCGTTTGTTAATCTTTTTTATTGTTTCTAGCACCCTACTGTCAAGTTCCTCGAAATTGATGTCGGATAGGTACTTTTTTACCAAATCGATATTTGTGAATTTTGACAATTCGTCATGATTGGCGCGAAACTCTCCCCAATAATCATTTATTTTTGGGATCCAAGATGCTACACGATCTGGGTTGTTACGCCGATCTTGCGGTTCCTTGGCATAATTGGTCAAATGTTCTTCTAACAATTTTGCCAATTGCCCTTGACGTTGAATCATATCTTTCAAGGTTGGTGCCATTTCAAAAAATTATTCATATAAAAAAGACACAAACACTCACAATTTTAAATTGATTTTTCTTTTTAAACAAAAGATTAAAATATAGTACTTGCTTAGAACTTTTTTCTAAGTCTTGAAAACACAATTGGTTAATTAACACAGTTCACTATACTTTTTTTTGATTGCTTGATAACTTAGTTTCAAGTCTTTAAATATTCAGCTAACTTTTATTTGCTTGGGCACAATGAATTTTCAAGTTCCAAGTCTTTTCTATTTGCTTGAATATAATGAATTTCAGATTCAAAATTCAAGTCTTTTTATTTGCTTGAATATAATGAATTTCAGATTCAAAATTCAAGTCTTTT